CACTCATGTCCCATCTATAAACATGGAGTAGGTAGGATTTATGACCTATACTGCAACCAGCCACCTGGGGGCAATCGACTCTAGGTGGCTTTACATCTGGGAGCTGTCACAATGTCCATCGCATTAAGGCTGGGTTATTAATTGAATTTTATCTTAAATTCCCATTTTAGTTTCCAGAGTTTATGAAAATAGAATAATCAAGCTAAAACAATTATTGTGCCACACTCTGTTTCACAATGATGCGCTTGTTTTGTCTTGTTATAAATCCAGCGCACCCCTTCAGCGCTGTACAGTGCGAGCATCGTTTGTTCACATCGGAAGAAGTGAAACGTGAAACATTACTCAAGTTGACAGCATCTAAGCTCTCTGTACGTTCAATAAAACCTCTGAGTAAAATGTCAATAAGAGTAACACCTGCTAAATGAGCATGAACTTGTTAATGTCCCATTATTTTAATAAAAATCCAGATTAAATATGTGCGACTACAGTTTTCAGCACAGTGATTAGCATTAGTTTTCTTGCACAACACGATGAGGTTAAACATGAACGGATAAGAAACAACAATCCTGCAAAAATTGTGAAAACCAAATTTACCAGGTGACCTGAAGCAGACAGGTTTTAGGCCAAAAGCCAAAATCTGTGTTAATTGTTGTTGATTTGTGAGTGGGAGATCTGTGGTTATTTTGAAATTGTCGCTATATTTAGTGGTAGAGCTGGAATCGGCGCATGTCATCAAGCTCCAAGCTTTTTTCCCTGCTCAGTTATGGAATTTTTGTTAAAGCCACAAGGAGACCTGTCAGTAAAATCAGTTTTTCCCATAACATAATTCCTGTCTCAGTGAAAGTGGGATTTGTGGTAAGACAGATCACATAACTGTTCAGATCTGGGAGTTGAAAAATAACTATTGTGTCATTGGAATTTTACATGTAGGAACTGGAACCCACCTAAAAATACAAATGAGGATTTTGGTCAGAGTGGGGAAAGAACATGGAAACACGGTGCTGAGCCATAGTCTAGACATGATTTGGTTTTTAAAAAGTTTCACCTTTGCACTGGAAAGAAGAGCATGGTTCAGAACTAATGTAGCAGCTGAATAGTAACAGAACTGGATCCAGTCAGATTTGTCCTAAGATTTGTTCCTATGTGCATGTGTGTTTTGTGGCATGTGCACACCTGTCTTTATGTGTGTGTGTGTGTGTGTGTGTGTGTGTGTGTGTGTGTGGACTGCCTGTCTCTCTAGTGGGGGAATGAAAAAAAAGGGAAGATGAAACAACATCAGGATGGAAAAACTGCAGTGCTGGGTGTGCACATCCACTCATAGAGTGGCCACAGCAGGGTTGAGGTCTGGAGATGATTAGCACCTACATGCACATACTCACTCAGTAATGTTGAACATCAACAAACAACACTTGCATGACAGCGTCCGTTTTGCTAGGAGGCTTTCACTTTATTTTCCATTCTGCACACATGCACGTTTGTTTTTATTCTTTGTGGAGCCTTTACATTAACTTACATTCATTTTCTGGATGCTTATCTGAGCCTTAACCATAACTACTGTGTGCCTAACCTTCAACCAAGTCAGTTTAGTGACTTACCTGGTGTGTGTCAGCATCTGGTCCCCACAAGGAAGGCTGAGTCCCCACAATGAAAGTGTTTAAAAAGGTTTGGTCCTCACAGTTGCAGTAGATGCCACATAATAGTTTGGGATGGGCATTTTCCAACCAGACCAACTTCTAAATAGACCCAGTGGGACACTGCAGTCTGTGCTGCCTGTCACCTTAGAGTCAGAAGATCCTAGGGTTAGGTTTCTTCAGTTGCTTCAGTTTCCTTCTCAGAGTCCAAAGAGCAGGTCAATGGGTAGCCTGTTCCTGTGTTATATTGATGGTTCAGATTGAAAAAATCTCCTCCCGTGAGATAGATAAAGTATTAAATAAGAAGATTGTCAAAAGCGCCATTCAGTCCAGTCAGTTGTTGTTGGTCACGAGGTACCGTCAGTCAGTCTTTCTGTCAACCCACAGTCAGTCAGCGTTCACCCCGGCCCCCGGGGCCGGGTCTACGGTACACTTTTAACGGTAGCATTCTCATCCCCTCTTCTTCCTCTGCCTTAAAACCCCTTCAGGCTCACTCTTTTATCCGCAGCTTTCCTTAGGCTGTTACGTCAAATTCTGAACTTAGCTTCCGGTCTCCAGTTTTAGGAGATAACACCCTGAGATGTACTCAAAAACAGGAAACATCTTGGCCAACTTATATAAGCTCATTGTTCAGCTCACATGAACTTAATGAACCCATAACCACTATTCTATTATATAATCCATATTAACATGTAACTTAAACCACTACACTAATGTCCGCTGGGATTTGTGATGGATGGATGATTTCAAGGTCAAAGTATTTATCTGTCATATGCACAGTTAGCTGTTCATTATTTTTATGGACAGAATTTCTAGACGCAGCCAGGTAATGGAGGGTGTCTGTTTTGGCGACTGCAGAATCTCATCTCTGCTCTTTGCGGATGATGTGGTTCTGTTGGCTTCATCAGTTCAAGACCTACAGCGTGCACTGGAGGGGTTTGCAGCCGAGTGTGAAGTGGCAGGGATGAGAATTAGCACCTCCAAATCTGAGGCCATGGTTCTCAGTCAGAAAAAGGTGGATTGCCCTCTCAGGGTTGGGTGCGGGCAGCTCCCTCAAGTGGAGGAGTTTAAGTATCTTGGGGTCTTGTTCATGAGTGAGGGAAAAATGGAGCGGCAGGTTGACAAACGGAACGGTGCAGCGTCCGCAATAATGCGGTCTCTGTACCAGTCCATTGTGGTGAAGAAGGAGCTGAGTCATAAGACGAAGCTCTCAATCTACCGGTCGATCTACGTTCCTACCCTCACCTATGGCCATGAACTTTGAATCATGACCGAAAGAACGCGATCGTAGATACAAGCGGCAGAAATGACTTTCCTACGGAGAGTGGCTGGGCGCACCCTTAGGGATAAGGTGCGGGGCTCAGTCACCCCTGAGGAGCTCAGAGTAGAGCCACTGCTCCTCCTCGTTGAGCGCAACCAGTTGAGGTGGCTCGGGCACCTCTTTGGGATGCCCCATGGACACCTCCCTGGTGAGGTATTCCGGGCATGTCCCTCCGGGAGAAGGCCTCGGGGCAGACTCAGGACACGTTGGAGAGACTATGTCTCCCGGCTGGCCTGGGAACACCTTGGGGTTCCTCCTAAGGAGCTAGAGGAGGTGTGTGGGGTGAGGGAAGTCTGGTAGGCTCTGCTTGGGCTACTGACCCGGTCCCGGATGAAGCGACTAAGAAGGATGGATGGATGAACAATTAGGTAACGTGTTTCGCCGTACAATGAAACTCTTACTGTGCTATCCACATGAATGCCACAATATGAACACAATATAATGCAGAGAGAATATATGCTATGTGGGAGCCATGGAGTGCAAATACTCTTGCAGTGAGTGTGCAAGATATGTATGTAAACGGTACAGATGGAATTACATGAGGTAGATCCTGAGTCTAATGGCAGTCGGACAAAGAGTTTTTCAGTCTAGAAGTCCAGCATTTCACACTTCTGAGCCTCCGACCAGAGGGCAGGGGTATGAACAGTCCGTGCTGGGAGTTGTTGGGGTCCTTGAGGATGGAGGCAACTTTCCTACACACTCTGGGGTGGTAAATGCTCTGCAGAGAGGGCAGCGGAGTCCTGGTGATCTTCTCCACAGTCATACCACTTTTTGCAGGTGCTTGCAGTCCATAGCAGTAGTGCTGCCATACCAGATGGTGATGCAGCTGGTCAGGATGCTCTCGACAGTGCAGCTGTACAAGTTGCTAAGGATCCTAGGCGCCATACTGAATCTCTTCAGGAAGTACAGCTGCTGTTGGGCCTTCTTGACCAGCTGTGCGGTGTTGAATGTCCAAGTGAGGTCCTCATTTATGTGGACGCCCAGGTATTTGAAGCTGCTCACCCTCTCCACTTCGAGCCCCCAGATAAACAGTGGCTGATGAGATCTCCTCTCCTTATTCATGCCCACTATCATCTCTTTTGTCTTGTCTGTGTTGAGGCTGAGATTATTGTTCTCGCACCATGACACCAGACCGGCCACCTCCCTCCTGTAGGCTGCTTCGTCCCTGCCAGTGATGTGACCTATCACTGCGGTGTTGTCTGCGAACTTTAGGATGATTTTGTCTTTGTGGGATTTAAAGATTTAATTGACATTTTTGTTTGTGTAAACAGGTTTTAAGAATATTTTTAGGACTTTATGCACAGAAACACTGAGTAGAAATGGCTAAAATAGATGTGACTGTTAAATAAGCTACTAATTTATGGTAGATTGCTTATAGCTTGTCTGCTGCATCCCAGTTTACTGGACAGTGGTAATTGGACACCACAAATGTAGCCAGCTATCATGTACATTACATTTTGACCAAAAATAACCTTTTGTGCACATTGTAATAACTCAGTTTTTATGATTTTGACATTTTATGCACCATACACAAAAAATTAAAAATATAATTAATTTAATATATCACCTACAGTGAAATACAATCCTGGAAGGCCAGTTTGTCTTACAGGATTACAGAGTTTAAAGGCTTATTGGGCACATCAAATCAAATGCTTATCAGTAGTGTTTTATAATGTTATAAGGTAGGATTTTATCATGGTGGCAGTCATTTGTTCCTCATTGTGAGCATTGCAAGGTAAACTGTAGAATAAACAATAGAAATACACATTAACGATACAAAGTAATCTGCCAGAAGTGTGTGTTTGCTCATGTTTCATTGGTTAATGCCATATTTCTGTCCAAGAGAATGACGCCACCTGCGATCGTTTAACTAGTGGATGATTTTGTCAAATTTTTGCTTTTTGTTAGTTTTGACCATTTTAGTTTTAACCTAGTTTTAGTAAATCAAAACTAAATACATTTTACTCTAGTTTTTGTAATTTTGTCATTGCATTTTTAATATTTACTGTATTCTATACTTTCTTTGTCTTGGGTTTTGTACAATTACCATGGTCACATGTTGTTCCCATCTATGGTGACATTTCTAGAAAATGATTTTATTCACGTATTACTCACTTGTTACTTCCCACTTCTGGATTTTGGTGGTCAATGGTCACAGTGACCCAGTGTTCGTCCCATTCTTGTAAATTTGACTGGTTGGCAGAGGCATACAACTGTTAAGTGGTAATTCTAGTTCAAGCGTATTTACGGGAATTTTCCAGAGTTTGCAACCACATTATGTAGCTGAACTGTGGAATGTTGGCCATGTATAAGGGGAGATACTGGTCTCTATTGGAATACATTCCCACTGGCAGCCTGTCCACTGTACCCTGCTTTTCTCCCACTGCATGCTGGGATGTGCTCCAGCTCCCTTTTTTCAAGAAGATATTTTGACTTGTGACAGAAAATATACCCAGGTCATCAATTGGCTGCATAGCCTGGTCTTGTTTTTCCAACTGCACTCACCCCCATACCTCCACTTCAAGCTTCTTCTGCTGTTAGTACCTCATAAAAGCATGCTATCAGAATGCATAGTTTCCATGATCACCGCTTTTCTTCCACCTCTTGCTTTTTATCCCTTCATCCCTCCATTCTGCACTCTTCCTACCAGTCATGTCTCTGTTTGCTTCTGCTTTTTTCTACCTTATTTGTCCAACAGCTGTGCTCTGTCTTCGTCTGCCTCTGTCTCTCAGCCTCATCCTTATTTACAAAGACGTATATTTTCCACATCTTGCTTCATGCACTCAACAGTCGAATGATGTCTTTGGTATATGTGTGAAAGGCTCATTGTTACATTCAACAAAGGATTTTTGTCTCTTTGTTAACGCAACAGAAATGTGCTCATTGGTGATGTCATTTTTTTCCAGTCACAATTTCTCCCTCTCTACATGTACACATATGCACACACATTGGCTTTCTTTCTGTTTGATTAGTCAGCAGTCGCTAGTATCCGTCAGTAGAACAATATGACGGGGAAACAAACAGGTCACCCCTCCCTCTTCCACAGTCGACTGGTTTGCAGTGAATGAGCAAATGAATGAGACTAGTATGAGGAGAGGGAGGGGACTGTGTAATGCGTCATCGGCTGGCAGGGGCTCATTTAAGCAGCTGTAGAGCAGAGGGATAGGGTGAGCTCTGAAGAGACTGAATGACATTTTCAGATCTCCACACCCAAAAATCTGGAAAATTCCTTCAGCTTGCAGGATGCTGCGGAGCTATTCCACCGAAACCAATTGAGGGAGGCAGGAAAAGTCTGAATATTAATGGAGTGTTGCAGCAGCTGATCAGCAGAAACTGATCAGATAACCTTGGAATGTGGGTTAGGAGGTGCTGACTAAGGTCACTTTAATATAGGGTAGTGTATCTCTAACATTGTGGCCCAGTTCACTGTGAAGATAAAAGAAGGTCCACGTGTACAGAGCCAGAGCTGGAAAAAAGCCAAACTGTTTCCTGTCTGGGAGCATCTGTTGTTTCCTGCTCACCTATCATCCTGGGGAAGGCAACGCTTCTCCGACCCTCCCGATTCCCCCCTTCCTCATCTTTATCATCATCATCATCGTCCTCGCCACCGTTAAAGTCTGTTTCAGCATCCAGTCGTGCCCTGACTTCAGGTATCAGGTGGAAAAGGTTTTGGCTCTCGGGATCGCCCATCATGCACATCAAGACCACCAAGAGTAACCACTACTGCCTGGTCGCCTCAGTGACTAACCAGGAAGTGTTCAACCATCCTGAGGCACAGGTAAGAGTGGTGTCTGCTTCTGGTGCTCCTTGCCAACAAGATTCTTTGAAAATGTTGTCTATTCAGAACTGTGCTTTGTCGTTTTTAGGGTTCAGCCCACATGGGCTACAAATAGTGGCTACAATAGTATTTTTAGGAATGGAAATTATTTATCCATATAGATGAATCTAGGCAGGGATGACATATATTTTAACTGTAGAAGTATACCATTCATCATTCTTAACCCTGTGGAATGTTTATGAGGTCCATCTATCTAAAACTAGTGTAATCTCATACAACAGTCCTGCCATTAATGCTACCTTCATAAAGATTCTAGTGTTCACTTTAGGGAGTAGCTGCTTAGAGAGGAACATTGTAAACATTTGTTGGACATACAATAATTCACGATGCTGTTGTTGTATTATGTTATTTAGTCAGCCCTCTCTGATATAAATGGGGTAGAAAATATTAGAAACATCTTTGTTTACCCTTTATAATAAATATGAAATTTATCTAAAATCAGTAGTGAATTGACAGCAACATGATAGCTCCCAGAAGTGAGGCCACTGACTCGATGGCCTCCTAGTGGCTGGTTTCAGTATAGGTCATAAGTCTCGTCCCCTCCATGTTGGCAGATGTGACATGAGCCAAATCAAAACCCAACAAAACAAATATTATTCTTGATATTTTGGCTTCGCTTTTGCCTAGATCAGGGAATTGGTGATGCATTGTTCATATTTATACAGTCCATGACTGAAATTTGAATGTCAGGTTTTGGAGGATTGCACTGAGGTAAATGCATTCAATCTTTTAACTTATGATGGCACACATTTGAAGTTATAAGATTTTGAGAACTCGTTCTTGTGTCACACATGTTAAGTAAATTTAAAGCGGTGAGAGCTGCGTCAATTGTGTTTAATGTAGACTTTGTGATGCCAACTAAATTAATTCAGACAAACCATCCCAATTTAAAAGATCATTTAATATTACAATTATTCTGAATAGAGTAGTATTTAAACAGATAATCTTGTAGTTGGGGAAACAGAGAACAGAGACTCTCCTCCTGCAATGTGATAGATAAAGCATTAAATAAGAAGATTGTCAAAAGCGTCAGTCCAGTCAGTTGTTGTTGGTCACGAGTCAGTCTTTCTGTCAACCCACAGTCAGTTGTCAGTCTCCCCGGCCCTCTGGGGCCGGGTCTACGGTACACCTTTCACGCTAGCATGGTCTCCTCTCCCTCCTCCTCTGCTCTAACCCAGCTTTTTATCTGCTCGCACTTGCACAGCCCTCCATGGCCTGAGCCATGAAGACGCGGTCCCATGCCAGCTACCCACACACACCTTCTTCCGAGCATTGTCTAAGCTGTCCAGTACATGAACTTCTAGGTCGCATTGACCTGGCGCACATTTCCTTTTTCTAAACCTGAACAGAGCACATGAACAGTTCACATAAGGCTGCAGCTACAGTATATCCATTCCTTATCTGAGGAGGAAGTCACTCAGGATGTTGACCCATAGGTTAAACAAAGGGGACACAGCCCAAGATATTCTTGCCTGTGCCAGAAACAGATCAAGCTTCCGTACACACTTAGCGCAGCCTTACATCCTTGCACAACTAGTACAAATAATATCTAAATATGAACTACATACTGTTCTATTACATATTACCTCTGGAACCTTGTTTATTTTCAACCACTAAAATGACTTGGATAACGGGGTTTTTTAGTGACTAGGCCTTGACTCGGACTTGAGACCTGACTCGGCTACAACACTGGAGTGAAGTCCCTGTTTTATTTCTAAGCCAGTGAGTGTATGTTCACACATCATACATGTAACACTAATAGTTGAGACATGAGAACACTGCCATTTAACCAATCAGGACAAGAGCCCTGTAAACTCACCATTAATTTCAGTTCTTTTTGTTATTTATAGAATTGAAACCATTAGTAGGTTAATTAATCAGTCTATCGACAGAATATTGTTTGGCCAAACACTGGAAGATGTCATTGTGCACTCTCAGAAATATAATGGGTATTGCTGTTTTGTGGACTTTTCAAAGGTGAGAGGCTAATCAAGTCAAAATAAGTAAGTTGCAGCCCTATTTGCTCTAGACATTCCTCCTGTTTTATGCCTCCAAGCTGGTGATAGCCCCTGCTTGAGGCATGTTTTTGGGTTGTTCGTCTGGCCTATTCTCATGAAAGCGATTATCTCAGGAACTCCTTGAGGGAATTTCTTAAACGTCCACTTGGACTCAAGGATGTACTACGCAAAGGTCAAAGTCAACGTGACCTTATGCCTTTCCATTCTCTATAGTGGCCATGTGGAGACGAAACTGATATTCATCTTCTCATCTGACTGTGAACAGCAAGCAATTGTGTTTCCAAAATATTTGTAACTGCATCATGTTTTTGAACTAGTTGGATGAGACATGACAGGTTGTAACAAGGGCTGTTTGCATCAAGCAGCCACAGTGAGAAAACGGCAATTATTTAAGATGGGGTAATTTTGTGGCTGTGCTGTGCAGACATGATCATTATGCAGGAAAGCCTACACTTCGGTACATGTCTGGGTTCTGCAACAACTTAGGATTTGTCTTGTTGTCTACACACTGACCTAATGGGCCTAATAGATGGTTTCTGCAAGGCCAGGTGTTTTATTAGATAACTCAACTGGTGTGTATGTACATACAGTGGGTACGGAAAGTATTCAGACCCCCTTACATTTTTCACTCTGTTATATTGCAGCCATATGCTAAAATCATTTAAGTTCATTTTTTTTCCTCATTAATGTACACACAGCACCCCATATTGACAGAAAAACACAGAATTTTTGACATTTTTGCAGATTTATTAAAAAAGAAAAACTGAAATATCACATGGTCATAAGTATTCAGACCCTTTGCTGTGGGGCTTTGGCTGGGCCATTCAAGAACAGTCACGGAGTTGTTGTGAAGCCACTCCTTCGTTATTTTAGCTGTGTGCTTAGGGTCGTTGTCTTGTTGGAAGGTGAACCTTCGGCCCAGTCTGAGGTCCTGAGCACTCTGGAGAAGGTTTTCGTCCAGGATATCCCTGTACTTGGCCGCATTCATCCTTCCCTCGATTGCAACCAGTCGTCCTGTCCCTGCAGCTGAAAAACACCCCTATAGCATGATGCTGCCACCACCATGCTTCACTGTTGGGACTGTATTGGACAGGTGATGAGCAGTGCCTGGTTTTCTCCACACATACCGCTTAGCATTAAGGCCAAAAAGTTCTATCTTGGTCTCATCAGACCAGAGAATCTTATTTCTCACCATCTTGGAGTCCTTCAGGTGTTTTTTAGCAAACTCCATGCAGGCTTTCATGTGTCTTGCACTGAGGAGAGGCTTCTGTCGGGGCACTCTGCCCTAAAGCCCCGACTGGTGGAGGGCTGCAGTGATGGTTGACTTTTTACAACTTTCTCCCATCTCCCGACTGCATCTCTGGAGCTCAGCCACAGTCATCTTTGGGTTCTTCTGTACCTCTCTCACCAAGGCTCTTCTCCCCTGATAGCTCAGTTTGGCCGGACGGCCAGCTCTAGGAAGGGTTCTGGTCGTCCCAAACGTCTTCCATTTAAGGATTATGGAGGCCACTGTGCTCTTAGGCACCTTAAGTGCAGCAGAAATTTTTTTTTGTAACCTTGGCCAGATCTGTGCCTTGCCACAATTGTGTCTCTGAGCTCTTCAGGCAGTTCCTTTGACCTCATGATTCTCATTTGCTCTGACATGCACTGTGAGCTGTAGGGTCTTATATAGACAGGTGTGTGGCTTTCCTAATCACGTCCAGTCAGTATAATCAAACACAGCTGGACTCAAATGAAGGTGTAGAACCATCTCAGGGATGATCAGAAGAAATGGACAGCACCTAAGTTAAATATATGAGTGTTACAGCAAAGGGTCTGAATACTTATGACCATGTGATATTTCAGTTTTTCTTTTTTAATAAATCTGCAAAAATGTCAAAAATGTGGTGTTTTTCTGTCAATATGGGGTGCTGTGTGTACATTGAGGAAAAAAATGAACTTAAATGATTTTAGCATATGGCTGCAATATAACAAAGAGGGAAAAATGTAAGGGGGTCTGAATACTTTCCGTACCCACTGTATGACGTATTCATAATTTCACACGTTGCCATCTCAAGTGTTTATTAATAGGCTTCGATTAGCCATCGCTGTTGTGTACTCTTGAAAATGGTACCTCAGGTCAGCAATCTAGTTCCTTTTTCTCCCTTGATTAGCTTTTATAACAATAATTGGACATATGAAATTGAGGCCATAGCTCTCCCTCTCTGCAAGATACACACAGGCTTCATGTGCTTCCTGAGTGTAAAGAAATATAGTCTTTTAGCAGGGGCTATTTTTATAGTTTATTCTTAGGGATTTGAAATCTTGTACCATTTTTTACGGTTGCCTCAGGTTCACAGTGTTTAGTATTTTTAAACGAGAACAGAAAGAAGAGCTGAATGGAACAAATTGGTTGGAACTGGAGGAGAGGTCCTATCATCATTTCAGTCTCCTCCCCTTTTCTTCTCTCTTTTCAGGCTACCTTTGAGGCCTTGTTCCATTCTTTTGACCCAGAAGTACAGTTTCAGTACTTCAAGTCTTTCCGGCGGGTCAGGATCAGTTTCAGTGATGCTGTGGCTGCTGCTGAGGCACGACTGCGACTGAATAAGACTGACTTTGGTGGCAAAGAGATAAGACTCTACTTTGCCCAGGTAACGACTTAGAAATTCATCTTTTTCATCCTTACTGCATTGATCTAAAAGGGTCCACTGAATTCAGTGTGGCACTTTAATCTCTCTTGTGCCAGAGGAAAGCCAAGGCAGTTTGCACCATGTGTTGAAACCTTTTTCACTCACCTTTGGTTGTCATTTTGTTTGGAACCCCACAGAGTTCAATATTAAGTGGTTAATAAATTTAAGTATGAAATAATCAAATGAATAGAATTTAGGCAAATATATTTTTCATGTCACTTTTCACAACAGGATTGTCATCACCCCTCCTTCACCTTTTAGCCAGTCATATGCTTGATTTGAGAACTCAGCTGATAACAAATCTAGCCAGTTAGCTTCTGTTAGCTAGAGCTAGCGCAAAGTAATTTTCAATCGACTAACTAGAAGCAGCTGCTTTAATTAAATGGTGCACACAAAGTATAACTTCTGTTTTTTATTTTGCTTAACAAGCTGCCTGTGTAGCCAAGTTCTGTGCTGGTATTTAATATTAAACACTTTTGCAGAGATGCTCACAAGTCATTGTTTGCAAGTCCAAGTCAATCTCAAGTCCCTTATGGTTGTGATGAGCATCCTGTCATCTGCTACATGCTGTCCAGACTGCTTAGAACACTGCCTTGGTATATAATAATAAGGATAATCACCTTTATTGGCCAAGTATGTTACACACAAGGAATTTGTTTCCGGTACAGAACCGATGGCAGCCATCTGCGGCGCCACCTCAACTGATGGCTCTAACCATCGGAGGTAATGGGGGGGTTCAGTGTCTTGCCCAAGGACACTTCAACACGTGGACTGCAAGCACTGAGATTCGAACCTTCAACCTTCTGGTTGGGAGATGGCTGCTCTACCACCGCACCACTGTCGCCTCCCCTATAACCCAGTGTATATCTAAGAAATTCAAAGCATATGCTATATTATCACTCTATCTATTAGCATACAGTATTAGCATTGATTATTTGTTAGTGTTTGGTGTATGGTATACACTATATAAAAATATGGATATTGAATGTTGACCTGTGTTATTACACATGGTCTCCATCTAGTGAAATCTTATCTACTGTAAATTAACACATAGCTGTAGCCTCTCTAACCCAGTGTATTGGTAATTTAAGACTCCTGTTACATGGCCAACAGTAAATCTGTAACCTGCCTGTAGCCCATGTTAATAATAACATGGTCTTTCTCTGTTAGCCAGCAGATGGTGGCAGCAAAGTGTGGGTGATTAGTTACTTAGTCATCTCTGTAGTCATTGCAAAGCCAGTGAACAAGTATGACAAGCAAATACTCTTTCATCTTTTCAAAATATTAAGTGAATACCAGTCTAATAATTTAACATCTGTTGTTATTCACAAAGTGTGTCAGTGTGGGTAACTTGACAATGAGTCACAATCTGGAGTTCCCATGTCTGCACTTTGGGGCTTAGTTTTTTCAGACACCTTCATTCAAAGTTGGCTAATGTATTTTATTCAAATGACTTCTCACTAAAACTCACATAAGCCATTTTTTTTCTTCTAGTCTGTTCACATAGGGAGTCCTAGGCTGGAGCCTCCCAAGCCAGAGAAGCAGTTCCTGATCTCCCCCCCTGCATCCCCTCCAGTTGGCTGGGAACAGTCTCAGGACGCTACACCAGTCATCAACTATGACCTGCTGTGTGCTATCTCAAAACTAGCACCAGGTATATTGCCAAGAAAAGGTTTTCAGAGATGTCTTTCTTGCAAGGTGTGGTTCACATCAGCAGATACTTCTTTTAACTACAAAATTGCATTTTCTGAAGAAAATGCATAAGGATGCTGAGTGCTCAAAAATCGCCCTGAAAATACTGAACATTTTGACACCTGAATGCTTTTGCTAGCTGAAAGTATGCTGAAGTTGGAATTTCCCCATTTATTTGAATGGAGCAAGATTTTCAAAATAAAGCTAAATATTTCAAGAGTATGAAGTTTAGAAAAATTCTGAAGAGAAGCATGAATGTCCTTGAAGAGCTGAACATTTAGTACCTGAATGTATGCTGAAGTAAAATTTTCCCATTCATTTAAATGGGGCAAAACTTTCAAATTAAAGCTAAATATTTCAAAAGTATAAAGTTTTGAAAACGTCTGAATAGAAGCATGAATGTCCTTGAAGAGCTGAACATTTGGTACCTGAATGTATGCTGAAGTAGAATTTCCTCATTCATTTGAATGGGGCAATATTTTCAAAATAAAGTTAAATATTTCAAAGTATGAAGTTTATAAAACTTCTGAAGAGACGCATGTTTGTCCTTGAAGAGTTGAACATATTGATAGCTGAAAGTATGTTGAAGTAGAATTTTCCCATTCATTTGAATGGGGCAGGATTTTCAAAATAAAGCTAAATATTTTAAAAATTTGAAGTTTAGAAAACTTCTGAATAGAAGCATGAATGTCCTTGAAGAGCTGAACATTTTGATAGCTGAAAT